CCTTAAATTTTTTTAGATGGGTTGAAATCTGATGTTACAGGAGAATCTTGGTTCTCCGTTACATAAAAGATGGTAATGGTTAGAATTACTGGCACTGACTCATTTCATTTGCCACCTGGTGATAAGTCTCTTAGGAAAAGGGAAGCGTGGCTGTGTGTAGAATGGAGGAAAAAAGGATGAAGACTAAGGAGAGCTCAGTCTTAGCATAATCCCACTTTTTATGCATTTTAGGTTAATGGAGGGAGAAGAAGTTATGAGAAAGGCTCATGAGTGCTTTTGAAAACACTGTCAGGATCATAAAATTACCAATTATAAGAGGTGGGAAGAATGTTAGAGGTCTAGCTGCCCTCATTTTCAGAGAAGCTTTAGTGATTTACCCAGCCAAGCTCAAACAGTAGTAGCATAACTAGCCCTGGCTCTTTGACGCAAAGGCAAAAATCCAGGATTCTTTGATATCACCATCTCTCTCTAACTTTTTGTGGAAATAACCTGAGAATTTGTTGTTCTTAGGGAATCTGTTATTTTTCCTCCCAGATCACTTTGCATAAGGCCTGGAGTACTGCTAGACTTGTGGAGAGTGAAAGTGTGCAATTTTACCCAGCCTAGAAATTGCAAACAGAGGAGAAGTGGCGGGAAGGGCTTGCACAGAAACTTAATGTGTTGGATTTTATCAGACAGTACATTTTGAAAACTGACAAAAACAGTGGCAGACTTTATCCTTAAAAATGTTCCCTACTGTTTTCAAGGCTTTTAAAATTCAGGGTAAGAGTTTCGGATATGTCTGAGGATTGAGGATGTCTTACCTTTAAAATAGCCATGGCGTTCCTTTACATTCTTAACTTTAGATGTTAGGCACATGTGTACCATACCTCATGTGTATGGTAGCTCTCATGTAGCTATATACACCAGTCATTGCTCTGGGTTTATGCTTGCATTTTTTTATATAGGTTTTGTAGGTAAAGCTGTTTTATTGCTGTGATTCTGATTTTGACAACCATATGATCCTCTGACTTCTTTTCTGCAGTGCGTTCTCAAGGTCTATCTTAACATTTTTAATCTAAGAATTGCTGCTGGACTTGTGGAGATGTTAGGGGGATGTTGGAAGAACAACCAAGACATCTTCCTACCGATTATTAAAAGAAAAGACTTTCTACTGTTTAAAACCCTTAAAGAAGAAATTCAATAAGTATTTGCTTTCGATTACTCCAGAATTTAGGCTTTTGAGCTGTTAGGATGCACTTCATTTCTTACCTAAATACACAACTCTCTTTATTGTGGCTTATATTCATCTCAAATGTGAAAATAGTTGGTCACTAGCTCCTTTTGAGATCAAATTTACATCAAGTAATGAAACCCTGCTTTAGAATAATGCTGTTTTGAAGCAGTAAGCAGTTAAACTACTCTGAAGGTGATAGAAAAACATGCTTGATGTCTTTATTTTCTGGTTGAACAAGAAGATATTAGAAAGAAAAGTATTTAACTGTGCTGCTAGGAAAATTGATTTTAGTTCAACATAATTCAATAGTGTGGCCAGAGCTTAGAGTTTTAAGGAGAAACAGCGCCTCACATAGAGCCTTGTTTGTGCCGTTTGATGTCTGTTAGTTGAGTGCATTTCGTAGGTTGAGACCTACTTATGGAGGCTTGATTATATATATGCTTAATTAAGCAAGGCATTGAGAGTCCATTGGGACACTGTGTGATAAGCACTGGACTGGTGACTACAAGGTTGGCAGTTCAAACCGACCAGCTGCTCCTCAGAAATCCTATATGGGATTGCTATGAGTTGAAACTGGCTCAACAGCATTTTAACAACAACAACATGCAAGGCATTTGGATGTTCTGTAGTAGTTAGTGAGAAGCCATGCTTTACATTGGAAGGAAATGTGTCAAAGGTTATTACTATATTTGATGACAGGATAGTGGTAAGTTTTTTACTTTGCTAAACACATACCCTTTTTAGAAGCACACTTCTGACTTTCTGTTGTTGTTAAGTGCTGTCGAGTCAGGTTCCGACCCATAGTGACCTTGTATAGGCTTTCCAAGGACCAAGTGGACTTTGCAGTCCAGCACAGTAATCAACAGTGCCAACACCAGGAGTCCTCTGACTTTCTATGGGAAGGTGGAAACAGATTTGGGGTGAGGGGTGGGCAGTATACTTGAACCTGGGAGGAATAGCATATATACTTTGAAAACAAGACCCCAAGGACTTCTCCTTCACTATTTTGGGAAATTCTTGAGTATCAAAATCATAGACTGTAGGGCTCAATTTAACCAAGAGGCCTTCAGATCTAACCTGCATCATACAGTAGAGATGAAGTGAATTCCTTAAGGTTCCTAACCCCAGACTTCTGATCCTAGTTCATTCCTTGTTCTAACATAAGAGATTGGAGTTGTGGGAAAGTTATGTAGGTGAACAGTGTCTCAGGGAGTATTGATCCACATAGCTTCCTCTTCTATGCTCCAAAGTAACTTTTCCAACCAGCTGAGTATTTTCATATCATCTTCTGTTAAAGTTTATAGTATTAAGATACTCACTTCAATTCATAAGTAAAAAATAACGTAGCACCCCAGAAGGAAATCATGAAGACATTTCTTATATTTCCTCACCAGCCTTTTTTTCCTCTGAACACATACTGTGAAAATTGGAAGTCTGTTGGTTTATGCTTGTTTTTTTTTTTTTTTTCTTAAAACGGAATATATACAGACATGTATTTATATAACTAAATCTGTATGAATGCACCATTTGGAATGATGATATAGTAAAGAGAAACCTGTGGAAGTGTGAACTGGACAGGACCGCCTTCTTTCTCTGGGTCCCTTAAGTTTTCGTTTTACTACTTTGCTCTCACTCATGTTAATGGAAAATGTTTGCGTTTTCCTTCTGTGATAGGTTTCTACCTTACACAGGTTCAGTCTTTCTCAGGCCTCACTGTAGTTATTACACTATATGACCAGGTCACAGTATATGACAACATAATACAATTAACTCCCTATTATTAGATAGGCAGCTCTCAATTTTTAAAGTTAGCACCTGGTTCTAGGAGAACCTCAGTCATACAGTAGTTTGAATTTGTTCTGTTTTCTTTCATACCTAGCTGAAAACAGCTGGCTATAGAGTTAGAGAATGGAAATTGCCTTTCAGCAAGAAGCACTTTAGGCGAGGAGAGACTGGATAGCATTAAGGAATGTAGTTATGGTGCTTGTTGGTTGTTCCCAGTTACAGTGACCCTGTATAGGGTTTCTGAGGCTGCATATCTTTACAGGTGAATTTGAACTGCTATCCTTGCAGTTAGCAGTCCAACACGTTAACCCACTACACTACCAGGGTTCCTTGTGAGGGAGTGTTGTTGTTCAGTGCTGTCTAGTCAGTTCCGACTCTTAGCGATCCTGTATAGGTTTCCAGGGAGTGGCTGGTGAGTTTGAACTGTTGACCTTTTGGTTCAAACCACCATGTGCTCCTCTGCTTTATCCCATAATGCTCCATGAAGGAGTGTAGGCCTATATAATACAGAACGCAAACCAAACCACTGCCATCAAGCTAATTTTGGCTCATAGTGACCCTGTGAGACAGTCTATATAACTAACTGCCCTACAGAGTTTCCAAGGCTGTCATCTTTAAGGAAGCAGAGTGCTACATCTTTCATTCCAGACCAGCTGGTGAGTTTGACCTTTCAACAGTGGAGTGCATTGCTTAACCAGGGCTCCTCTGTAGGCCTACATTGTTGCTGTTGTGGTTGTTAGTGCCATCGAGTTGGTTCTGACTCATAGCGAGTCTGAATAGGGTTTCTGAGGAGCAGTTAGTGAGCTTGATCCACAGATCTTGTGATTCAAACCGACCTTGCAGTCCAGCGCGTTAGCCCACAGCGCTGTACCAGGATTCATGTAGACCCACATAGGTGATCTGAAATCTGGAGGAAGAGAGAGGGCTCACGTATAAAACAGGGTTGCTGAAATTGGCATAGGAATGACTCTTAAGACACCTGAGTACAATGTCCGCTTACTATTTTTTTCCAACTTCTAACCCTTTCACAACATTATTGTTGTGAGTTGTAAGATAACTTATATAATCAAGTAATTTATTTTTGTGGTTGAGTAGAAATGGGAGGCCAGATACCTGAAGTTTAATGACTAACTGAATGTCATAGATGATGACAGTACTAAAAGCCTCCAAAATGGTGAAATGAAAAATTGTTGCTGATTTATGGTAAAGCAGAATGATGATACCTAAAGCCTTGTGTGACACGGATGAACTTGTAATGATTTGTAGCTATTTAAACTTCCTGATTTTAGCCAGTACTTTCACTTGTGGTTTAAAATATTTCTGTCTCTTCTTCTAAAGAAAGTGGTGGATTTCTATTTCATATTATTCTTCTTTAGTTAAAGGCAAATGATTATTTGAGGGGGCTTCAAAAAATTCATGGAAAATAGGATGAAAAGATAATAGAATTTTTCCATGAACTTTTTTGAAGCTTTGTCTTATAGGAGACAAGACGATACTATAAACTAGGTTTTAGTTGTATGAATTCTCTGATCTTGAGCAAGACATTTTATTTGGGTTTCTAAGCTGCAAGTTGAAGAATAATTAATACTGTTTAAAATCAATTTTGAAGTTCCTTTTTGAACTTAGTAGTCTTTGCTTTAAAAACTGAAAAAATGACCCCTAGAGGTAGAGTTGGCTGTACTTTCTCAAATTTGAAAATGAAGCAAAATGCTGATCTAGTAGGTTCCTGTAGCTGTTTTAAGTATAGCATCTTGAAGGTGTCCCTCTATCAAATAAAGAACAAATGTCTCGTTTAATATATGACTATGTCAAAAAAAAAAAAAAAAGCAACCCCAGTAGGTGACCAAAGGGATAAGTAACTTTCAGGAATTTTGAAAGCCCAGTAGTATTTCGTATGTGCTCTCTCAGCACTAAAAAGGTCACCTTGCTAACACATGTTAATTTTGAAAGTTTAAATGACCTTTGGAATTTTAATATCAACCTTTTTTGGTGTGTTTAGAGGTTGGAGCAATCACGGAAGAAACTGAAGCCTGTGATTGGTGGAGTTTGGGTGCTGTTCTCTTTGAGCTTCTTACTGGCAAGGTAAGCTGTGACCTAGACATTTAATACTTTTGCCCATATTCTGCCTTGATGTCAAATTGAGACTGTTAGCCTTTGCTTTAATTTTTTAGATTAGGGATTAAGTGAGAAAAACTTTGATCCAAAAAGAACAAAGAAGAAACAGAAATAAATGCAAGTTTACCAAGATTCATGGTTTTTTTTTTTTTTTTTAAAGAAGTATTATTATATTACATTGAATAACTGGATTATAAAATTCTGGTATGTTACAATGTTGTTTAGTGAGATATAAAACTTAACATTCTTTCTCTTCATCTTCTATGGTTCTGTGGTTCAGTTTTAACAGAGTTAAAATCATCTGTATGGTTCATGTATCCATATGGTTCACTTAAGAATTCTCTGAATGTTTTGAAACATTTTATCTGAAAGCAGGAGGGAATTTTCATTTTAGAAAATTAATATAGTTCTTAAAGGTAACATCTTTTTTTTCTCAGTATTGTAAACTTCCTATTTTAGTTTAAAAAGATAATTTATATTTTGACTAAGAACTTTTAAGTATGATGTTTGAGGTTAATAGACTTTAATAGAATACTGTGCAGACTGCTTTCTACAAAGAAAACCGAGCAAATGAACAGTTATATTCTTTTTAAAGTAGTAACCTGCCTTAAACAATAACTTTTGAAGATTGTTGTGGAGTTTACAAAGCACCCTTATAACATGTGAACAATAACTTCCTACACCTACATAAAGTATTGTTAATAACAGATTCTAAGCTTTGAATGTTTTTAAGAACATTTTAAAAACTGAGAGATATCAAGTCCATTTTTAGTGTTTGAGCTCATTATAAATTTTTCTACTATAAGCCTTTCTCTATGACTAAAAGAAAAAAGGGCTAATAGCGTAGCAATATCTCCGAAACAATGCTCATAATAAACTCCTGATACAATCTTGATGATTGTTTGCCTTTGTTTCATGTGTCATAGTTAAAGTTATGTGGGCTAATTGCCCTTGCCCTCAACTGCTTAGGTAGAACTGTCTTGATTACTGTAGCTGCAATTAAGATGGCTGTTGAACTCTCTGTACTTGCTATCTATAAATCCTGCAATAGAATAGAATATGATGCTATTTGGGATAAGAAATGTGCCTGATTGGTTGTTTCAGACTCTGGTCGAGTGCCATCCAGCAGGAATAAACACTCACACTACTCTGAACATGCCAGAATGTGTCTCTGAAGAGGCTCGCTCACTCATTCAACAGGTAATTTCATTGACCTATTGGCTAATTATATCAGCCATACAAATTAGCAGAGTCATGGTGTGGCACTATGGGTTAATGCACGGGACTGCAAAGTCACTTAGAACCACAAGGTTGGCAGTTCAAGCTCACCAGCCGCTCCTCGGAAACCCTATAAAGGGTTGCTATCGGTTGGAACTGACTCTATGGCACTTAACAACAACAGCAAACAACTTTAAAATCTGAAATAAATTAGTTTTATATAAGACTCATTAATAATCGCAAATTCAGTGTTATATTCAGACTGTGTATTTCTAGGCTCCTACTTTTTTGGGTTATGTGATGGGCTGCTAACCCAAGGTCAGCAGTTTGACTCCACGATCTGTTATGCGTCACAGGAAAAAGGTAAGGGAGGTTTTCTGCTCCCCTAAAGATTTACAGCCTCGGAAACCCTGTATGGATTGCTCTGAGTCAGCACCAACTCCACAGCACACAACCATCACCACCACCACCTTCATTGGCGGGGTCAGAGAGAGTACAGTTAAAATCTGGTATTAGATTTTTTTTTTTCCATCTAGGTTGTATAGTCCATTCCATATATTTGTGGCAGTGTGAGCGATCACTATTATTTTAGCTTGTCAGGCTGTTCTCTTTTTGTTAGTGTATTTCTAATCACATATAAATGGCTGTTTTCTCTCTTTAGTACATATGTGTAGAGTTAGATTATAGACTACACAGGTTGCTTAGGAGAGGTATCATTAGACAGTCTTGCCAACTTAGGTCACTACCTCAGCTTCAGTCATAGATGGAGCATGGACATGTTGTCAGTACATTTCTAATAGTGCTGAAGAAAGAGATTACTGATCATTAAAGTTAATTATCCCACAGGGAGCCTTGGAACTCTAGGGATCTTAGGTTGATTCCCCATATATAAGGTAGTTAGGTTTTGAATAGTGGGTTTTATGGAATACACTGAGGATTGTTACTGTTGTGATATGATAGACTCGATTCACAGAAAATCATCAAGAGTTATCAGGCGTGGGATTAATTAAGAAGAGAATTACCTGATAGCCTCTTGAAGAGTGGCTTTCATTTCATTCACCAGCTATGATATGCAAGGCACAGTGCTTTAAACTTCCAGGATAAGGCTCCCAAATAGCTATTCCATAAGACAGAATTTGATAAGTGCTTGTCAAATAGGGTTAAGGAGAAGGAGGGATTAAGTCAATCCGCTGGTAGTGTCAAGAAAGTTTTTGTGGAGTGCGTGTTATTTTTGCCAGACCTTAGATAGGGTTTGGAGTCCTGGTATGGTGCTGTGGGTTAATGCACTGGACTGCAAGGTCAGTTTGAACTGCAAAGTTGGTGGTTCAAGCTCACCAGCTGTTCCTCAGAAACCCTATACTGGGTCGCAATGAGATGGAACCAACTCGATGGCACTTCACCACCACCAGGCGGATATTGGCTTGCCAAGGTTGCATATGGGAAGAATACCCTCAGTGGACTGAATAACTTGAACAAGGCAAGGAAGGAGTCAGAAATCAAAATGTTGTTTTATCTGGAAAGGAGTATAAGAATGAGTAGTAATAGGTGAGAGTAGAAAGAAACCTCTTAATGAATTCATTTATCATAAACACCAGGGTAGAGTCATAATATTTAGTTCTATACAAATCGAGATTTGGAGTTTTTGTGCAGAAGAGTGAAAGGATCAGCAAAGTACTTCAGAAAGATTAATTTTCCTGGAGTATATAAACTATATTGAGGTGAGATTACCAAGAGTACTTTGCAAAAGAAATGAGGTAATGAAAAGATTCATAAATCAGTTCATTCTAGTAGGAAAAAAAGGACAACTACTCATTTTCTTTCTTTTCATTTGTTGTGGCACAATAATATGTAAATTCAGAATACTTCTTTTGATAAATAATCTAGGGAAGTCAAGCAAAAGAAGTAGTCATTTTTATCTAATATTGGAAATGGAATTCCCTACATTAATGTATAAAGCTCTGCTGTTCTTTCCTTTATTGGAAATGATGTCATGAAAGATGAGGTTCAAAGTCTGTGAAGTCCTCAGATCCTGATATGTACAGCGTATATAGTAAATCAGCATTCTGTCATTGGCCTGCCGAAGGAAACTACCACTCATGTTGAGGAAACATCATCAGGAAAGGGAAAAGGGGTCTCTTGGCATCATTAGCAATTTGTCATTTTGACTTTCCTCTTTCATTCCCTTATAGGTCAGAGATGTCATTTTTAAAAATCACTAAATGGTTTATATGGAAAAATTACTGTTTGGGGGGCATTTTCTTTTCTTTGGTCTTTCAGCTTCTTGCTTTCTTCCTGGACGTTACAATCCCTTGCACTCAGGGTTCAGTGATCTGTCCCAGTCAAGTAATGGTGTTATGTAAACACACATTTTATAAATCTTGTATTCTTCAGTGTGCATTTAGTTAATTGCCTAACAGTTGCTTTGTCATTCAAAAGATACTAAATAAGAAGAAAACATTCAAAACATAAATTTATGTGCCCTCATTGCTCAGTTCTGTTGCCTGTTATCTGGATAAAGGAGGGCGTCACTGGCTATCTTGAGATTTGCCACTGGCTGATACATTTTCTTAAGCAATCAAACTTCTTTATGTGATCTCTCTTGAGACTTGTTACATCATTTAAAATGGCAGTACAGCAAGATAGTAATGGGTAGAACACAACTTTTGCTTGTAAATATGTACTTGCAAATACAATAGAATACCCCATGAACTAATAAATGAATTAACTTTAGTAAATGTCAAAACATGAAGCTTCATTGGAATTTCAGAGTTTGTATAATATTTTAGAAAGAATAGAGGTGGTGGAAAAGTTGCAACAAAGAAACAATTTATATACATTTATATGTTTCCTAAAATATAAACAAGTTATATTAAATTTTATCAATGTTTGATATGTTAGATTCATATAATATTGTCTGGTTTTGAAAATGGGTTTGGTACATTTAGGTTATTCTTATGATGCGAAAATTGTGTTATAATAGCATCCTTTCTCTTAGCACATTTTAGCAACTTCTAATATAAAAATTCTTTGAGCAATTAGATTTAATGGTCATTTTTGCATGCTGCACGCAATAATTTCAAATAAAAAGATTTAGTATAGTTTTTTTTTTTGAAACATATTAGTTTTTTGAAGCATATGCTTCACTCCTCTTGTGGATTTGGCAATATCAAAGTAAAGTATGAGATTATTGCCATTTGCAGATTAAACACATGCGGTATTGTGATTTTCCAGCCAGATTACCTGAATTCAAATCCTTTCTTTGCCACTAACTAGTTGTATGATCTTAAACAATTAGTTGCTGAACGTCTCTGAGATTCTGTTTCTCATCTATACAATGGAGATTATACTATCTATTCATAGAGGTCTTGTGCGTGAAATTAATTAACCTATACTAATCACTTACAACAATCACACACAATACATTGTATATTAATGTTTGTGACTATTATTAGAACAAAGTTGAAGGTCCATGACATATAAGAATTTATGTCAATGGATGCAGCGTATATTTGAATCATAGGCTTGCTCACATCTGAGTAAGGCAGTTATTGGTGATAAAAGTGAAGAAATCTAAAAAAATGGTGGACTAGGTATTTATCATATAAATAATTAATGAATCATGAATGAAAGGAGAAATAGAAAAATTTTTTTTAAAGTAGATTATAACTTTTTGGCTACATTTGTATAGTGAGTTCTTTGTCTAGGGTAAGGCACTCTGGGGGGTGTAGTGAGTTGCAAGTTGGGCTGCTAATCGCAAGGTCAGAACTCCATAGGAGGAAGATCAGGCTTTCTGCTCCCATAAAGATTTACAGCCTCGAAAACTCTAGGCCGGGTTGCTATAAACTGGAACCAACCTCCCCTCCCCCCACTACCACCACCATGCTTATGAGCATTAAGGTTTTAAAGGAATCATGAAATATTTCAGACTATATTCTACGGGGGTGGGGGGGAAATATGTTTGCTATAGGCATAGTCTCACAAATTCGCGTGACCACGGCCAAGTGAGGACCACGGCCAAGTGACCACGTCCAAGTGTCAAATGTTTGTCTCCAATTCTAATGATCTTAATTCAAGTTTACAGATCTTTTTTTATAACTCAAATTTGCTGTTGAGTTGCTCCAATATATATATATATTTTAATTTCAATTATGTGCTTTTTCAATATATAATGACTGTCTCTTTATTGAAGGAGCCTTGGGGGTGCTATTTGATAAGTACTGGACTGCAAGCCACAAGGTCAGCAATTCAAACCCATCATCTGCTCTGTAGCAGAAAGCCTCAGCTTTCTACTCCCAGGAAAATTTACAGTCTCAGAAACCCTAAACAGGAGTTGCTATGAATCAGGGTTCATTCAATGGCAGTGGGTTTTTCTCCTTATTAAAAATATCTATTTGTTGGTTATTATTATCATTTTTTCTTTTAAAACTTTTTTCATGTGAATTGGATGAATCAAATCAGTTTTTATTCAGCAATTCATACACACTTTGTTTCCTATCATATCTCCATAATGTTGTTGTTGTTGTTAAATGCTGTTGAGTCATTTCTGGCTCATAGCAATCCTGTATAGGGTTTCCAAGGAGTGGCTGGTGGATTTGAACCACCAACTTTGAAGTTCAAACTGACTTTGTGGCTCCAAGGTTGTCCTACAGTGCCACACTAGGATATAACATACATGCCACTCTTTTGCTTTTAATTCTTTAAATATAGTTTCCCTGTATTCCCATTATAAATATCTTCTGTGAGCATATTTAAAATAGCTCTTTGACGTCCTTCTTTGCTAATTCCTAAATCTGGGGACACTGAGAGACCATTTCTATTGACTGCTTTTTATCCTAAGTATGTATAATACTTTTTTGTTTCTGTATGTATCTTGTGATTTTTTTGCTGGAAACCCGTCATTCTAGATAATGTTTTTTGTAACTCTGAAGTCTGGTGTTCCCCCATGTAAATAGTGTTTATGGGGTTCAGAGGAAATTTGGAACTGTAAATGTCTATATCAGAAAATAAGAAATGTCTCAAATCAGTCACCTAAATTTACAACTTAAAAACTAGGTGCCAGTGGGTGGGACAGTGAGGACTACAGGGAAATAAAAATAAACTCAAAAGAGGCAAAACAAAGGTAACAGAAATCTGTGAAATCCAGAAAAACATTGAGAAAATTAAGGAAATTACAAACTGGTTCTTTGAAAAGATCAACAAAATTGATAAACATGTAACTGACTCAAAAATTGTATGAGAAGGCAAACAACCTGGAATATCTAAAACATTTGAAAGAGACTAACGAAGTGAGCCACCTATCGTCTGTCAGTTTGTCATACTGTGAAAGTGAAGAGAACTTAAAATACTTACTGATGAAGATCAAAGACACCTTTCAGTATGGATTGAATCTCAATGTAAAGAAAACAAAAATCCTCACACTGGGTCAATAAACAACGTTCTCATCAACTGAGAAAAGATTGAAGTTGTCAAGGACTTCATTCTTCTTGGATCAACCATCAACACTCATGGAAGCAGCAGTCAAGAAGTCAAACAACGTATTGCATTAGGCAAATCTGCTGCACAAGACATTTTTAAAGTGTTGAAGAGCAAAGATGTCAGTTTGAGGACTAAGGTGCGCCTGATCCAAGCCATGATATTTTAAGTAACTTTATATGTATGTGAAAGCTGGACAGTGAATAAGGAAGACCATAGAAAAATCAATGCATTTAAATTATGGTGTTGAAGGAGAATATTGAAAGTACCATGAGCTGTCAAAAGAATAAATAGATCTGTGTTGGAAGAAGTGCAGGCAGAATGTTCCTTGGAGGCCAGGATGGCCAAGCTTCTCTCATACTTCAGGCATATTGTTGGGAGGGACCAGTCGCTGGAGAAGAATATCATGTTTGTTAAGGTGGAGGGTCAGAGAAAAAGAGGAAGACCCCCAGCAAGATGGATTGGCAGAGTGGCAGCATCAATGGGCTCAAGTGTGGCAACAATTGTGAGGTTGGCCCAGGACTGGGCAATGTTTCATTCTGTTGTGCATAGGGTTGCTATGAGCCTGTACCAGTTTTCGATGGCACCTAATAACAAGAACAACCAAGTGGGAGGATTTAGATTATCTGATTACCACAGTTGTGTAGACAAAATTGGTTCTTGAGGCAACGATAGGCATGGAGTAGAAGTAAGAATCTAGAAATAAACACATTGTCAATTGATTTTCAAAGAAGATTCCAAGATAATTCAATGGGGGGAAATAGTCAACAAATGGTGTTGGGAAATTTGTATATTCACATGCAAAACAAATAGAGTTAACTGAAAAAAAAAAGAAAAAGAAGAAAAGAAAATTAGCTCAAAATAGATTTATATATACATGGGGGCTTCAAAAAGTTCATGGAGAAATTCCATTATCTTTTCATTTCCGTTTTCCACAAACTTTTTGAAACTTCCTCATATGAATTAAATCTATAAAAATTCTAGAAGAAAACAGAAAATTATGACCTTGGGTTAGGCAAAGAGTTATTATATATAGCACCCAAAGCATGGTCTACAAAAACAAAGTTAACAAAGTGGGCTTCATTAAAATTTAAAACTTTTAAAGATATCATTTAAAAAAAGAAAAGATAAGGTACAGAGTAGCAGAAAATATTTGTAAATATTTGTTAAAGGTTTGTATCCAGAATGTATAAATAACTCAATAATAAGATAAAGGATTGGTTTAAAAATGGATAAAATATTTGAGTTGATATTTCACCAAAAAAATACATTAGATATATAGCCAACTAAAAAGGACATGAAAAGATGCCCAACATCATCACAGTCATTTAAAAATCACACAGACCTTTCTGGTGAGTTGCTTTAGACTCGTCGACCCTATAGGACAGAGTAGAACTGCCCAACAGGGTTTCCAAGATTGTAAACCTTTACAGAAGCACACTACCACAGATTTCTCCCTCAGCGTGGCTGGTGGGCTCAAACCCCTTTCAGTTAGTAGCAAGTGCTTACTTAACTACTCCCACCAAGGCTCCATTGAATTGTTGTTGTTATGTTTCATGGAGTTGGTATGTTTGAACCATCAACATTGCAGTTTAGTGATCCAGTGCTTATCCTACATTGCCACACTAGGACCATTTCATTAGGGGTAGAGATAAAAAGTCCAGAATATGTGCAACGAAGCATTTTGAGTGCAGTTCTTCCAAGATAGATTTGTTTGTTCTTCTAGCATTTCATGGTATCTTCAATATTTTCACCAATGCATAACTCGAAAGCATCACTTCTTCTTTAGTCATCTTTATTCCCTGTCCAGCTTTCACATGCATATGAGATTACTGAAAGTACCCTGGCTTGGGGCAGGTGCACCTTAGTTTTCAAAATGACATCTTCACTTTTTTAACACTTTAAAGAGATCCTTTGCAGTAGATTTGCCCAATGCAATAAATATGCCTTTGATTCCATAGACATTGATGGTAGGTCCAAGTTAAATAAAATCCTTGACAACTTCAATGTTTTCTCCATTTCTCATGAAGTTCAGACTTTAGGTAAAGTGTAGTTACAGTTCATACGTAGTTGATTAAATACTGAAAGATTTCTACTGCTCTTCACAAAATGCCTAATCATGAAGGTAGTAACTGACTCAGAATTTGGGATAATATCTAATTAATGTCAAGATATGTGTTAGAATTAGGGAATCGGTAGATATAATTATGTGTTATACTACATCAGGATGATAGATCAAAATTATATTTCAAATCAGTTACAAAGGCACAAATTCAGTTGAGGTTATCCCCTCACTACCTTACTGGCAGCTAGAGTAGTGTTAGACATAGTTTCCTTTCAAGGAAGTACAGTAAAATGGCTATTAATCAAGCCTGTTTTGTCATTGGGGTTGAATTTACAAGTTGTTTCCTTTTATGTATTATCCCTTGTTTCATCAGTCAGATCCAGTTACTCATCAAATCCTTCTTTTTTAGCTGCTGCAGTTCAACCCTATGGAGCGTCTTGGCGCTGGAGTTGCTGGTGTTGAAGACATCAAATCTCATCCATTTTTTACCCCTGTGGATTGGGCAGAACTGATGAGATGAACAAAAAGCAGCATTATCCACACACTTTCTGATCTCTTGTGTGAAAGACATCTCCAGCACAGAGGCACCTCTGTCTCACTATCCTTGATGGAGCCCCAAACCATTTGAATAAAGACATTTAAAGAAATGGGGGGTGAAAAAGATTACAAAGAAACAATTTATTTACAACTTTTGCCCAGAGAAGACACTGACTAATTTATAATAGTAAGGGGCTGTTACACATAATTCTTTAGCCAAGGTGTGGTCTTTGTTTAATTTGCATTTAATGTTGCAGATGAGTTATAAACCCAACTGAAAGAGGAATGCCCTTCAAGATGCTCTTCTGATATGGATTTCTAAGTTCATAACTAAGAAGGATCTTTACCTGAAAGGACTTTTACGTGGCAGCTAACAGTTTTCTGCTAACCAAGATTGATTTATATGATACAATCAATATTTGCTGAATAATATACTAAAAATGTATTGTGTATAATATCATCTGTGGAACTTAAGGAATGACAAGAAAGACTATACAAATGCCTGATTAGGAAACCTGTACCATGATGCTATACTATGAATGTATCTTGAATGAGGTCTCATATTGTTTCATACTTTCAGGATACACTGTCAACTCTGAACTTCGTTGGTTCATACTAATTTAGTGAAGACGTTCTTATCAACATTCACTTTGTCTCACGCTTCAACTTCATTTTCTTTCCCCATCTTTCCATTTTGTACATCCTTACCTATTTTCTCGATTACGTTCTTGCCACCCTTACTAATATACATGCAACAAAAAGGAAGAAAGTGTTTATTGCCTCATATTGTATCAACATAATAAGGACTAAGAAATCATGATATAAAATAAACGTGGTAAAAATTTACATCTCTCCTTTATATAGTAGCTTACTTTTTTTAAATTTCTATTTCTTCTTATGTCTTCACTTCATTTTACTTTTTGGCTTAGTGTACTAAGAACCCAAGGATCTTATCTAAATGGCGTTGATTGACAATCCTATTTTATTACTTACAGCTGTGGGATTTCCAGATGTGACCTCCTCATTTCCTTGACTTTATGTAGAAAGAATATGAGTGCTCATACAGCTCCAAACATTTGTATTTGCCATTTCTTTATGTTTCCAAAGTAACTCATTAGTCATGTATGTGTCTGTTGCCATGAAGTACTGAGTGACCTTTTTCTATTTTTTAACATATACAAATATTTTTTAAATGTTAATATCTATTTTTCAAACTTTGTCCAAAGAAGAAAAAGTAAGCCACTGTTTCCAGGTTGGGAGTCAACAACATCAGTCAAAAGTTTTCTTTATGTTTAAAATCTTCCTTGTATTTTTGAGATGTTTATGGGAGCCCACCTCTGCTTTGAGAACATCGGTATAGCTTTAATCTGCCATTGCCCAGGTCCTCCCATTAAATTCATCTGGAAGTACAAAATGCTTTAGTAAAACAAAGGAAATGTGCAAGCAGTTTTTGTTTTTCTATTATTCTACTCCCCCCTTTTTCCTTTTTGGTCCCCTTATAACCTGAACCCCAGCTAAAGGGCTGCAACAACACCAGGTTGGGGAGCAGGTCATCAGGCTCATATTTCAATCCAGATGACATCACTGCCTGGAACTGATTTCAGCTCACCAACAGACTGGCCTCCTAACAGGAATTCATGCAGGTGAGACATCAGAATAACTTCCTGACAGGACTAGTAGGAAATCTGCAAGTCCTTAGAGGTAGCCATTATAGAACTTCCTTTCAGAAGTGCCCTCTGACATCAACGTAGGACTTCATAACTACAGTCAAGCTCCCTGCCCTATCACATGACTTTAGTCCCTTGAGTTCAGAGGACAGTAATGTCAACAGATGGTTGCTTTGTCAGTCTATTGAAGCAATTCCAGTGCTTTCATTTTTCTCTCTCTGTTACTCTGTGTGTTTGATTGGAACTTGTGCTTAATGTAAATACATCATTCATAATCATGGTCGGCATGAGTTATTTTAGTAATAAATACACAGGATAAATGGCTTTGGGGTGATGAAGCCAAGTCTGTTTTTATTTAATGATGTACTAGTTTTTTAAGCTCTAATGCTGTGGGTGATACTAGTCTTGGTCTTTTGTGTTTTTATTTGTGTTTGTTTTGTTTTTAGCAAGGGAGTGAAATAGAGGTCAAAATCATAAAAGAAAATTGCCACTTAGTATATCTCATTTGATTTTAAATTTTGTTTTTATATGAAATTACCAATATCATTGATTATTTACTATGCTGTTTATAAAAGGGTTTTTCCAAGCAAGTTACCAATGACTGTGATGTAATGCCACGCATCATAGATTATAACATAACTTACGCTTCCTAAGTGTTTTTTTTTGTGTGTGTGTGTGTGTGTGTTTTTAAAGTTGTTTTGGCAATTTGCTGTAGCTGTGATATGAGTTAATACTATGTGAGACATGGATATGTTCACTTTAAAATAACTGAACTCACTGTATGTAAACAGCTATCACTCATGTTGTGTTGACCCCAAAGTATTTTCTATTCTGTTTCAGAGTTGCTGTGAACCAAGATTGAGTTTTACATTGATTATAATGCACATTCTGAAGAGTATAAAATTTTTAATAATAATCTTGGTATGCCTAGTAAGACTATATTAGGGCCTTATAGTAAGTAGGCTTTGGTTGGATTCACTTGCCTTTAAGGTATGAATCTAAATAGTAAGAGGTTGACTAAAATGCTAAAGCGTTCTTTGCTTTCAAGGACACCCAATAGTATCTTTTTTGGATTTACTAGGGATTACTTGAAAGGAGTCTTGGTGGCACTGTGGGTTAGGCACTGGGCTGCTAACCCCAAGGTTGGTTGTTAAAACCAGCTGCTCTGTGAGAGAAAGATGAGGCTGTCTACTTTTATAAAGATGCACAGTCTCAGAATCTCAGAAGCCCTGTATGGGGTTACAATGAGCTGGAATCGACTTGATGGCAGTGGATAGGTGAATGGCTCACTTTAGAGTGAAGGTGGATGCATGAAATGGATCAGTCCTTTTAGAAGAGGTAGATTCCACCTCTGGTATATCTAAATGCCCAGGGATAGACAGCCTGCTATTTTAAGCTCACTTTTTGAGGATTGTGGAATATAATGGAAAATTGCAGTGTGGTGCCCTAGTCCTGTCTCTAATTAGCTTGCCTTATAAACCTTGATCAATCACAATGTTCTAGGTGTTTTCCCACATTTATAGAACAGAAAGGAATGTGAGTTTTAAGATAGATTTCCTATTTTTGAGAGTGAACTAATTTGATAAAAACCAACTTTGTAGGGAAAGATAATGTTAATGAAAATGTCAAATTGATACTTAACTCTTTTGTTGTAATTCTTTTTCTAGAACCCAAGTACCTAGAAGATCTTTTGCATATATAGATATATATATATATAGAGAGAGAGAAAATCTTTTACATGTATATAGTAAGAACCTGCTATATATATTGCTCAGTAGCATAGCCCTTAGAGGTTGTGTGACTTAAAATCGTAAGTAGAATGGAATATTAAAATATTTTTTCTCAGTCAGCTCTTCACTGGAAAGAGAGAGTTGATGGTTAGATGGAAGTTCATAAACACGAAAGGAGATTAGGACACACCTACATTTGCTCACTTCTTAGACTTTCTTCAGTGACGATGGTGGTGTTCCCACCCCTTTTGCCTTCATCTATCTCATTTTATGTGTTTATTTGACTTAGTACTTTGGCAGGCAAATCGGAGTACAAAATTGATATTTTTGTTTCTACTTAAAGTGAAGCATTAACCTCTCCCAGTCTGAGTAATTTGGGTATTTGAGTCTTTAATACCGCTGAGCTCATTTTAAGGATTTCATGTCAAGCCCTCATGGTGAAGGGCTACTGAATGGCAAAGACTGCGGAGTCAGCCATTGCTGAATAAAGTTGTAAACCTAACAGTAGGGAAATGAGAAACCAAGTATCATAGGTTTTTGTGAGTCAGCATTGTTCTTTGAAGGATAATGCCTAGAAAATCAGAGAACAAATTTTCCTTTTGGTAATGATAAAATTAATTTATGGTAATAGTGTTATGTTCTCGGGTGGTATGGCCTTGTAATTTTTTATTGCTTTTTACCAGAGATCTGTGCCTCTCACATGACTTCTTCCCTAGATCTTGGTATCTTGTCTCTGGGAGAAATAGAGACAGAGAAAGTTTGTGGAGTTTTAAGAGAGAAAGTAACCTGATCAAGGTTGTCTAGGTGAAGCAGAGCATACACCAAGCCTGTTGGGCCAGGTATCTGTAGCAGTAAAGAGCCTTCCTTGTTGAGCTGGATTTAAAGTACACATTCTTTGTTCTTTCCTTAGGAAGGGTTAGGCAGAAATTGAAACATCCTACTATCCCAGAAAGATGATGTCTGAACTGCTTTTGTAAAGGATTAAGTGACATAACTTCGCCAGCATCAGTTCTGTCTTCATCTCCTTGCTGAAGACAGCTGGTATGGCTGGTACTGAAGGAAGAGGCCACTAAGTATCTGTCAAGGGCTGCTGTGATTCCCTATTGAATGTAGTAAGAAGCATGACAAATGGGGCCACTTGGGCACATTTAGGATTGCTGGCATCCTATTCTTGTAAATCTCAAATGAAAGTTTATCTAAAAATTAAGTCTGCTTGGAATGTTGATCAAATTCCTCCTACCATTTGGGTTATTTCATAGGCAGAGCCATGGTTGACTTGCAAATAATTTATCACATTAACTCATCTATTCAGTAGAATCATTTCACATATACGCTCAAAGCTGTCAACAGCTATGGACATGGATGAACATTTTAATATAATTGGAGTGTGGATAATTTTTAATTCACCCTTGTGTGTGTGTGTGTGTGTGTGTGTACATATGGAGCCCTGGTGGCTCTGTGGATTAGGCATTGGACAAGGTTGGCAGTTCAAACCCAGTAACCACTCCTCAGGAGAAAGCTATGGCTGTCTGCTCCCATGAAGGTTTAGTCTTGACAGTCCTAAACATGGGGCTGCTATGAATTAG